TGTCCGCCCCGCCCTTGGTGAGCCTGGAATAAGTTAAGGCAGGGCTGGGTCCCTCCCAGTTGCCATGGCTTCTGACCTCAGCCTTGAGCACTCAGGTTCCCTGCAGCCCCCAGTGACCTGTACCCGCTCCTCGGGGGTAGCTGTTTAGGAGGCAGTGGCAACAATGTGGCCGCTTAGGAGGCAGTGGCAACAATGTGGCCACTTAGGAGGCAGTGGCAACAATGTGGCCGCTTAGGAGCAGCCCATCAGGATGTGGCCGCTTAGGAGGCAGTGGCAACAGTGTGGCCGCTTAGGAGGCAGTGGCAACAATGTGGCCGCTTAGGAGGCAGCCTGCAGCTTGCCAGGCCTGCAGCTCAGCCCATCAGGGCAGAGAGGAGCTGGCGCCAAGCCCCACACACCGAGGGCTTGGCAGAGGCACTAGAAACTCGGTCCATGCCAGGCTTGGGGTCAGTGCAGGGGGAGATCGCAGATGGCAATGTTCACAGGGCTCCAGAACAAAACGTCTAAGGTTCTGGAGACCTCCAGCAGTTTCCAGCCCAGGCTGCCTCGACAAATCCGGCCCACATCTATTGTCTAACTTTCTCCCACCTGCTGGACCCCGACCTTCACGCACACTCCCTGGCCCGCTGTGCTCCCACCTCCAGCACAATCTCCACACCTTTCTAGGGAAGGGTGGCTGCAGGAAGCCCTTATTCAGGGTTGGGGAAACCATGAGCTTTCCTCGAATCGACTTAACTTTCTGGGGTGCAGAGAAGGAAGCGCGTGAGAGCTGCGGGAGGCTGGGGGAGGAACCGACAGAGGCCCAGGGGCTGGGCCTGGGCCTGGGGCCCAGTCCAGTCGGGCTCTGTTTCACTATTGATGAGGACGCCATCAATAATTCACAGTCACAGAAACTCCAGGTCTCGGGAGCTGGGCTCCAGGACACTGAGCTGCCAAGCAGATACGACCTGCCACTCCCATGCCTGTCTGCCTCCGGCCAGGGCTGTCTCCCTCCCCCACGCCAAGCTCCTGGGAGTTGGCTCTCTGTGTGCAGCGCCCAGCTCATGACCTCTCCTGGCTGCTGAAGGTGCAGAAGGGCTGTAGCCAAGCTAGGTGCAGCCTGGACAGGGACAGACGGACAGATGGACAGCTCTGGGACAGCTGATGAGCAGCCCTGGGAAGAGTTGGGGCTGGAGGTAGACCACACCTTCTGGCCCCAGAGTCCCAGGGGGGCTCCTAAATCCCTGCTTTCCCGTCTGCTCCCATCTGGTGAGCAACTGGCAGACCTCGCCACCCCTGGAAGCTGCCCCGGGGACGGGGGGATGAGGGGGTGTCCTGCTCCCACACACAGCCTGTCAGCACTGAGCTCTGGCTTACAGTCTGCGCGTCTGGCAGAGGGTCCCTGTTGGGGCCAAGGCCTGGAGCATGCCTACCCCCCTCCCCTCCCCTGCCCCACCCCTCCCTGCTGTCTCACTCTTGAGACAAGTGCTAGTGCCTTCCAGGGGAGCAGACAGGTTGGGGTGGGCCCCGCTCCTCCCGGCATTACCTGGCAGGGCTGACCCCGGAGGCTGCATCCCACACCTCGGGTGGGAGACCAGGCCAGGCCCTGGTGGTATCCTTGCCACACAAGCCAGGGGCAGGACTGGCACTCACAGGGCTACGCAGAGATTTGTTGCCACAGGAACAGCCTGAACAGAATGGCCTTTCCATGGGCAGTGGGAGACATGCTGATTGGCTGGGGCAACCTCCTCCCCGTCCCTGCCCAGTGGGGGGTCCTGCTGCCCGGCTCCTGCCCCTGTGTGCCCAGCGCTGGCAAGTACAGGCATGTGGCTCCAGAAGGCGCCTCCCAGGTGCCAGCCACCTCCTCCTCCGGGCCATCTCCACTCTCCCTGCTCGGCTCCTCACTCTGCTCAGTTTCCCCCTCTTGGGAGGGGCAGCAACATTCCTCCGTACAGAGCAGTCAGCCTCCTGATAGCACAGGTGAGCCAAGCACCATCCCCCCCGCCCCCCCCAGATACTGCCCCCCTCGGGCCAGGGGCTATGCTGAGCACTGCACACGCAGCCTCAGCGCCAGCACTCAGCCTCGCCACACGCCCGGTGCTCTTCTAAGCACGCTTCAGACGTGTCCCCCAAATCTCAGCGCAGTGTTAAGCTTGAATTCTTTTGGAAGAATCAATGCCTTGCTCTGGCCGCAGTGACTCAGTTGGTTGGGTGTTGTCTGATGCACCAAAAAGTCACTGGTTTGATTCCTGGTCAGGGCACATGTCTGGGCTGCGGCTCAATCCCCAGTGGGGGCAGTGCAGGAGGCAGTGATCAATGATTCTCTCTCATCATTGTTTCTCTCACATCGATGTTCCTTTCTCTCTTTCTCTCTCTCTCTAAAAATAATAATAATAATAATGAATAAATGCCACAAACATCATTTGAAGATTTAATTTTTTACATTAAATTGAAATTAAAAGTATTTTTATTCAAAAATTTAAAAATAAATAGACAAGAAATATAAAGAACGGCGCATTCAAATGAAGCACCCATATTCCTGGAGTTACCAAAGCCTAACCCTTCACTGATGCTCCTGGAAGCCTGCGATGGCCTCGTCTCCTCCCCAGGAGGAGGTGCTGTTCGCCTGCTCCTGTGCGGCAGCTCCCAGGTCTGTGCAAGTCACACGGGTCCCCAGGCCGCGCTGGGAGGAGGGGCAGAGCTGGGGGGATGTCCGTTCTGCCTGTCACAGCCACCCTGCCCTTGGCCCCCACTTCACCTTGCCCTCTGCTCTCCCTGAGCTGGCGGGGGAGGGGGGGGGGAGGAGGGGCTCCAGGCGTCACTGTCGGGCCACAGCCAGGCCGAGGCGAGGCGGCAGCCTCCAGGGAGCAGCCCCTGAGTTTCCACTGCAGGGGAGTGACAGTCAGGTGCAACCTGAGCACACGATGCTGATGAGCAGCGCAAGGCTGATGGCAGCGAGATGGCTGGGAGGCCCTTTCCTGCAGCCCCCGGGGCCAGCCCTGCCACAGCCTTCAGCCTGGGCCGGGTCAGGGACATGTGGCCTCCCACCCTCCCACCTTCCTGCTGCTGGGCTCACTCCCCAGGCAGCCAGGCCAGATGAGTCAGGGGTGCAGATGAAACCGAGCCCCCGGGGCAGCCAACCCCCTTGCAATCAGTCACTGTCATTTCCTGTTGCTCACATGCAAGGTTCCCGAACCTGCCAGGCCAGGGGAGGACTTGCTCCCCAGGAATCCCGGGCACTCCTGGCATCCAGGTAGGGGACAGGGAACGTCCCACATCCCAGCAGCCTTCCTGGCCCTGCTTTGCCCAGATGTGCCCTGCTCTCTGGGGTGAAGGCATGCCAGCTCCCAGATGGAAAGCCCACGGCTGGGTCCCCAAGGCAGGCCTCCACAGGACCCAGGCTCGCCCCCTGCCAGGTGGCCAGGGCAGGTGCGTGAGAACCACCCAGCCCTGCCCAGCAGTGTCGTCAGAGCATCCCACGGCCACTGGCAAGGGCAAGAGGCCCTGCTGATGTGCTGACCCGAAAGGCAAAGTGGCCGAGAGGGGCCCTGTCTCCCCTCACCTCCCCCTGACCCTCCCTCCAGCTGTCCGGGCTCTGGCTGGGCACCCGCGGGAGCGTGGGGACCTCAGGCTGCCCGGGCAGGTGTGGAGACGCAGGTGGAGTGGAGGCCTGGGGCGAGGATACCTGTGCTCACATCGCCCAGGAGACCCGTGGGCTCCTCTCAGGGCCCAGGAGCCTCGGCCGCCACTCCTTGCCCGCCCGTCCCTGGCAGCTCTAGCTGCGGGGAGCAGCCAGTGACCCACCGCAGTGCCGAATAGTTTTACAGGCCTTGACAGGGTCATGGAAGGGAATTGGAGCCATTTCTGTCTCTCTGCCCAAGGACTGGGAGAGGGGTGGGAGAAGAGGTAAAATAAAGAGATTGACGATGAGAGCAAGAATCCTGACTGGCTGAAAAGCAGTGGGTGGGCCCAGGGGAGTATTCCCATTGGGTAATGCTTTGATTTGGGGTTGGGAGAGGGTAGGCATCTCTACAGGGCTAAGAAAAGGCACCGGAAATGGGCCCCCAGACAGAATTGAAATCCGTAAGTTCCCTCCCGCCACCTCTGCGGGGCGCTCTACTCTCCCGGGCCTCCTCCCAGGGCGCGGCTTTCTCTCCCTCTCCCCTCCAGGACTCCATCCTGTCTTGTTCCTGACCTCCAGCCTCTGGTCTTGCCCACAGCACCCACCAGGCCTGGTGGCCGTCTCTCCAATGTTCCCCCAAACAGTCCAGGGCCCTCCCTTCAGCATCCCCGTGAAGCTCAGATATTAAAGGGGCAGCTACTAACCTGTGTTGGGGGGCAATGGGCAGGATCTGGGGGCTCCCTTCCCCGGCTGGGCCGGAGCGCCGTGGCGAGCCCTGGTGGCCCTGGAGTAGGCCTCTGGGCTGGTAATCCGCGCTCAGGTTACTGACCGATATATATAGCATCTTATCTGACCTCAGCCATGGCGAGCTAGCTCACTCACTGCATTCCAAGCCCAGGGGAATTAAAGGGGCAGCGACAGGCTTCCCTTCAGGGGCTGCCCTATGGGCGGGGCCAGACCAGGACTCCCAAGAGGACTCTGAATGGGGGACACTTTGAAGTGAAACTGAAGGGGGAGTTCAGGTGGAACAACTGGGAGGGGCAGTAGGATGGGGATGGGATGGACGCAAAATACGCAGAAGCAGGTGCCAGCCACCGACTTAGAGGCACGGGAGCACAGCGCGGCCCGACTCCCGCGCTTCTGAGACGAAGACCTCAAGGTGACAGCCCCTTGTTCAAGGGCACAGACTCGAGAGGCGAAGAGACTGGCGCCCAGACTTCCAGCCCAAACCCTTTTACAGCGAGCTCCCCGCCTGGGCTCGCAGCCCCGTTCCTTCCCTCCCAGTGGCTCTGGGACAGGGCAGGTCACGTAGGCTGTCGGAACCTCCGTGATTTCATCCACAAAACAGGAGTCATAGTCAGCACGTAAAAGACACCTCCCAGGGCGAGGGTTAAATAAAACACACGGCAACATCCTGGCATAACCAGAGCCCCGGCACAACACGGACTGGCACGAGGTGGGCCGCGAGGCCGCCTCCTCCTGCAGCCCAGCTCCTGCGTGTCCCCTGGCCTTTGGGCTAGCCCTGGCCCTGGCCCTTGGCCCACGGCCTGGTCAGGGACATGCACCCCAGCCTCCTAATGTAATAATATAATTATTATTATGTTGAATACTTCCACTATCATCATAGTTAGTGGTAGTATTTCTTGTTGTTGTTAATCCTCACCCGATGATATTTTTCCCATTGATTTTTAGAGAGAGTGGAAGGGAGGGGGAGAGACAGAGAGAGAGAGAAACATCGATGTGAGAGAAACACATCGATTGGTTGCCTCCTGCATGAGCCCTGACCAGGGCCAGGGAGGGGCCTGCAACTGAGGTACATGCCCTTGACCGGAATTTATCCCGGGACCCTTCAGTCCGAGGCTCTATCCACTGAGCCAACCTGGCTAGGGCTAACAGTCATCATAATAATGCCATATCTCCCAGTTGTGAGGGTTAAATAAAACACATGTCAATATCCTGGCACGTAGTAAGAGTTCAAGAAGTGATCATTATTATTATATTGAATAGTTCCACTTATGATTATAATTAGTGCTAGTATTTTCAGCAGCTCCTCCCAGGTGAGACTTCTTAGGGAGAACAGGGCCTCTGTGCTGCCCCTTGGAGCACCCTGCCCTGGTGCTAGGAGGCGCCCCGCTCTCCTGAGCTGGTCTGTGCCCGCACTGGCCAGGGCCAACGCGGCGTGCCATCCTCCCAGCGCTCC